TTTTTTTTGCTTGCAGTAATGGGATTTGAATTTGGCCTACACCTTGAGCCACTGCACCAGTCCTTTTTGTGATAGATTTTTTTCAGGATAGGTTCTTGTGGACCTATTTGCCAGGGCTGACTTCAAACTACTATGCTGATCTCTGCCTCCTGAGTAGCTAGGAGCCACCAGCACCCGGCCATACTATTTCTCTAAATAACTTATCCTGCATAGGTACAAGCAGTTGAAATTTTCCATTCTAGACCCTGCATTTTGGCAGCAGTTGCTGTGATCCTATAGCAGTCCCATTGCTAAGGGTTTGTTCCCATTGAAGTGGAGCAGAGGCTTGAATCTATCAATTCTGTTTTTTTGTTTTTTGGCTGTACTGGCGTTGAACTCATGGCCTTGGGTTTGATAGTCAGGCACTCTACTGCTTGAGCCACTCCATCAGTTCTTTGTTGTTGGCTTGGTTGGTTGTTTTGTTCATTTGTTTCTGACACAGTCTTGCCATGTGGCCCAGGCTGGCATGGAATTCATAATCCTGTATCCCGGCCTCCTGAGTGCTGCTAGGATTACAGGCCAGTGTCACCGTGCCACTGGGCTCTTGAATCTGTCAGTTCTGATATTCTAAACTGTATGGATATTTTGACTGGGCAGTGGTCCAGTTTTAACCAAGGTAATGTAGGAGACTTTTGGGCCAATGCTGGAAAGAAAAGTTGTTATTTTAAAAACTGTGTGACTTTTTAAGCAAAGGCCTTGGATATTTGTTGTTTTCAGTGTCAGTGTCTTAGGCCTGTCCTTGGCCTTATCCCACATATGAGAACTCATGCAAATGGCATGAGAGTGCTTTAATTTCATGAAATCCGTTACTTAAAGAAATTGCACTCAAATGAAGAGTTCTTTGGACTTTAAAGTACTTTTGAACTAAATGCTGCCTGCAAGGATCAGTCATGTTTGCTGTTGGCGTTTCTTACGAGTTACCTGGATGGCTTTGAGCTGGAGACATTTATGACTTTTAGGCCTCTGCCATTTTATGAGAGTAAAACAAATAAAAGGTTTGAATGGGTCTGATTCTTTTTAGCCTTATAAGATGTGTGAACCCATTCTGACTTGAAAACCTACTTTGCCGATGTTCGAAAAATACATCTAGTCTGTTAGAAAGCTAGTATTAAAAACAAGTTTTAAAATGTGACTTAATCTTACTTGAGGTTATGCCCTTGAGTAATACGTAGAAAACAGAATAAAAAAATTATTATTTCAAGAAATAAAGTAAAATATTAACCTCAGTCTAAGTCACAGCTGCTCACCAGTAGGAAAGACATACATCCCTTACCCCAAACAGAAAATTTTTTATTGTATATAATTTGAAAACCATTAGTTGTGTTTATGTGACTAGGAAAAGCAAGCAGGAGAAACCTTTCTTGAGATACCAGAATTCCATTAAGTAAAGTTTTCTTTCTGAGATACTTGTTTTGTGGTGCTGGAGATTGAACCCAGAGCCTTGCAAGTGCTAGACAAATACTTTACCATTAAAGGTATGCCTCCAGACCTGTGGTGTTAAATTTTTCACATAAGTTTCACTATTAATGGCAGTTGTGTTTTCCATTTTGGAAATACATTCTTTGTTTTGTTCATGCATCTTAAGTCCTTTTTTTATTGTGGCATCATAATTCCCAGAACTGGTCATTAAGATGCCTGTACCATCCCAGATGGCAAAGTTGGGAGTTTTGGCAGAGCTTTTTGTAACCCACACCTGTGCTGTCTATGGTGGGAGGTGAGCACAGGCTTCCTTTAAGGCGCTCACAGCAGTGGAGCAGCTGTGCTTGTGTGCATCTCAGAAAGGAGCCTGAATTGCCCAGCTTGCTGGAGCCCCCTCTACAGAGAGCCAGCTCATCCCTCCTAGAGGAAGTACATTTTATTCCACCCTTTAAACATTAATACTTACTTTTTGTAGCCTTAACTTTGGACTCTGCTTCCATGGATCTTCATTCTGCACACACGTGCATTTGTGTATATGTTTATATAGTATATAAAGCCTTCTGAACAGGAACCTTATCTTAATACCTCTTTATGCCACCTTTTGTGCCCTTAATATTTGTTAAAAATGAGATATATGTATGTGTTCATATGTGTGAATAATAGGTTAAAAGTACATCCTAACCACAGAGATGTAATTATCAGTCCCAAAAGATGAAAACTTAAGGAAATATTTTCCTCATCTTTTTTTTTTTTTTTTTTTTGCAGTATGGGGGCTTGAACTTAGTGCCTTCACCTTGAGCCCCCATCACCAGCCCTTTTTGTGTTAGGTATTTTCAAAATAGGGTCTCAAGAACTGTTTGCCCAGGCTGGCTTTAAACTTTGATCCTCCTGAGTAGCTAGGATTATAGGCGTGAGCCACCATGTTGCTGTTTCTAAGACCAGCCAAAACCTGGATACCCCAGATACCCCAGTGGTTTCCACATTGTGGAATGCATAGGAAATCCTTGTTAATTCCAGTGTCTCAAAACAGTAAGACAGGACTTGGGGTTCACTAGGCCTTTCTTTTCTGTTTATTGTGGGCAATTCTAGTGTTTGTACAGCGGTCCTATGTTCTAGATTATTTATAAGATTGAAATCTATTGTTTATTTTTCTCAGCAGGTTTATTGAGCCAATCAAGAATAAAATACTGTCTTTAGCAATGGAGTAAGCCATTAACCAATTGCAGATTGGCTTCAAAACAATTACTAAAGAATGAATGTGTGTGTTTGTGTGTGTGTGCGCGCGCGCGCGATGCGTGCATGCGGATGTGTATGTGTGCTAAGGTGAGGCTAGGCGGGGTGGAGGAGACTCAATGTTGGCAGATCTCTGTAGCATTGTAAGTTTCCTGTGACTGTTGATGCATTTTTCTTTTCTTTTAGTCTGTTAGTGAGTCACCGTCATTTGCTATTTTATTCTCTTGAGAACAGTTTTTTAATCATGGGTATTTGCTGTATGAGTAAAACACCACTGAGGATACTGTAGACAATATTAAGATAAAGATTTTCTTCAGTGATGCTTTAGTCTTGGCTTTTCCTCAGCTGCTGCCATTGTTTCTTTGTTCCCATGTGCAGGAGTTGGATTTTTTTGAGTTTGGCAACTCATGCTGGTGGCTCATGCCTATAATTCTAACTACCCGGGAGGTTGAGTTTGGGAGGACCACGGTTTGATGTCAGCCTGGGCAAATCGTTCATGAGAACCCCCATCTCCAAAATAACCAGAGTAAAATGAAAATGGGCTAGAGGTGTGGCTTAAGTGGTAGAGTGCATACTTTGCAAGCGCAGAGCCCTGAGTTCAAACCCAAGCTTTACCTTGTGATGTTCACCAGATAATTAGGCAAAGTAGTACCTTTTTTTTTGGGTGGGACTGGGATTTAAACTCAGGACTTTGTGCTTACAAAGCAAGTATTCTGTTGCTTGAGCCACACCTCTAGTCCATTTTGCCCTCATTATTTTGGAATTTGGGGTCTTATGAACCATTAGCCTGGGCTGGCCTTGAACCATAATCCTCTCAATCTCAGTCTCCCAAGTAACTAGGATTACCAGTATTAGCCACCATTGCCCAGCCAGAGCGTTTCACTTAAAGAATGGATGCTTCTTTATGTGGTCATTTTGCATTTGTATTAAGATGTACAAGGGATTCATATCCATTTGTCCAGTGTATTTTTCTCAGACTCAAAGTGTACTGTTTTTTTCTGTGTAGTGCTGTGTTCTGATTGCTATTTTTCCAAGTGTCAACTTCTCTTGGAACTTTTTGAAGTGTTTTAAACTTGTTTGAAATGCCATGCCAAAGAAAGACCTTGAAGTAACCTTACTGTCCATTGAGTTATCTCCCAATGCTTGAACCCACCAAACCATTCCTTCCCTTTTACTCCTGAACTCCTGGTAACTCTGAACCCATTCAACTTGTGGTGGGTTTGGACGGTTCCATCCTTTGAAATGTCTTCCTTTTAATCAAAAGCTAAAATCTGCCGGGTGCAGTGTCCATGCCTGTAATCCCAGCTACTCAGGAGGATAACCATTCTAGGCTAGGCAGAATGTTAGACACCGACAAATAAGCCTTGTGTAGTGGTACATTTCTGTAATCCCAGCTATGCAGGAAGCATAAAGCATGAGACCCTTTATTTTAGTAACTAAAAGAAAAGGGACTTGGGGCATGGCTCAAGTAGTAGCACCTGCCTAGCAAGCACAAGGCCCTGAATTCAAACCCTAGAAAAGCCCAAATCTGACTTGCTTCACCCTCCATCCTTGCCTAGGCTGTGGCCCTTGGAGAGGTGGAGAACTGCTGCCGTTCCCTCTCAGATGCACCTCACATGGATGAGGGTAGTTGACACATCCTGGGCCTGGGCTTCTGGCTCTAGGCTATCCACACTTTCCTCTGCAACTTGCAGCATCCATTCTAGAACGGTGAACTCCTTTGGAACTTTTTTGTTTGGCCCCTCTGTAAAACCTGATATCACAGAAAGGCAAAGATGACAGAGATGCCCCAGCTCCAGCAGTGTGGGGTGGCCAGGGTGACTGTCCCCATCCCTTACTTGGCACAAGTAGTAATTCAATGCTTGCCATGTGTCAGCACACACTTGCTAGAGTAACCTGAGTCACACAGAGGTGTTGTTTGTTCAGTTGAGTTGAAGTATCTTGAGTTTACCATTTTGACCCAGCTCTTGTTTCCCATAATGAGAAAGCATTAATGGTAGAATTTAGTAAAAGATGTTACCTGACAACAGCAGTGCATGCCCTGCCATTTTGACAACCAGAGTTACAGTGGCCAGGCCTAACATAATCATGCATGAAATAGAGGCTCTTTCCTCTAGACGGAAACTGTTTGCTTCAGTCACGATGCCAGAGACTCCCCAGGAACCCTGTGATGATGAGTTGCTTAGCACATTCCTACACATTTTGGTAAACTGGCTGAGGCATAAGATAGCACATTGGTTTGCTGCTTCTGTTTCAAACTAGCTGTGGAAAGCAAAGCTTGAGTGCTACTCTTCTCCTCTTCCCCTCAGAAACAAAATCTCTGGAAACGGGCTGTTCACAGACCAAGCCAAGGATCCCTGAATTTTAAGGTGAAAAATTGCAAGGTGAAATCATTGCTCTGGTATTTGCTGTCAATTTTCCAAAGCTGAATTGGATTTGTAGCTTTTCCCCTTCCTTGATCCCACGCACCCCAAAGCAGTGCTGCTCACGTCCCGATGGACAAAGGAGCAGTTCTACTCCAGCCTGCTGCCTGCCTGGTCATTGTAACAAGCTAGTCCAGTCTGAGTAGGTTAGTTGAGCATGTCATTGTGTTGACTTCTGGGAAGCTGGAGAGTAGGTCAGAACATACAGAATGCAATTATAGCCAACCTCAGGCTAAACTCAGATCCTTAGGTATCCTTGCTACTTTTGCATTAGCTGCAGCTTTTTAATGATATGAGATGACCTTCCTTCATGTGCATGATGTTTGCCCATGGCTTTACCTGTGTGCTCTACAGAAAAAATAAAACAATAAAAACAGAATTGTTTCTGGCTATGGGAAACTGATTTCAGTTCTTAGGTGAGGATGGCAACGAATAAATGTCATAGTTCTGCTAACTCATTTTCCATCCCTAAAACATTATAAGGCGTTTTAGCTTGTTTGGGGCACCCCAAATAACATTTCTTTGGCTTTTTGTTCACCCATTTTTCCCCCTAGTCCAGCCTTCTTCCCCACCCCACCCCTCAACCTGCACTCAAAGCAAGAATCATTTTTATAGCACGCATAACCTTTAAACCAAAAAGAAAGTATATTGCTTATAACAAAATGAATCTCTCTCCTTTTGAAAAGTCCTCCCTGTTGTTTAATGTGAAGGATATTCGTGTGCTGAAAGCCTCTTGTAAGTAAGTATTCGCACATCCCAGAGGAACTTTTGATTTATTTCCTTAACTCTGCCCTCTTTCTCTGTGGTTCAGAAACCTTTAATGATCTGTGAAGCCTGGAGACTTCAGTGCAAAACAGTAGTGGTTTTAAGAACCCCTCCCACCATATAAAAGCCCTGCGGTTTCTACATGCTGGGGTTTTGACTCCTTGAATAGCTGACCTCTCACAAATTTTTGTTGTACAGCAGGGCATCCTGGGTTGGAGCCTTGATAATGCTTTTGTGAAATATTTTTTTCCCTCCCTTTGAAAAGTTGTGATGAAAATTCCAGGCTCCCAGCCAGCCTATGGGATGTGATACAGTAGAAATGTTTCTGGTGCCCTTGTTACTGTTTGGCTTTGATTAGGTTTGTTTAATTTTGTTCTCCCCAGACCCCCCTGCTTTTCATGGCTAATTAGGTTGACTTAGTAGAGGCTAAGCATTTGTTATGAAAGCAGCTGCAGCCCAATAGATCCACTGTGCCAGGCTTGGTGGCAGAGGAGCAAGGGAAACATTTTCTCTGTGCGTTTGCTTTTCTTCCTCCCAGGGCTACCTTTTGCTTTTAATGCTAAAGGTGACAAGCTTTGTGGAAACTGTGTTGTGCTACCTCTCCTCAAGGTGTTCCAGGAAGCCATTGTACAACTTGTCTTGAAATTTTGTTGCCCAAGTTAAAAATCATGGTAGACTGACCTCTGGGGCTCCTGCCAAGTGGAAGGAGGGGTCTCAAAAAGCAGCAAGTCAGCAAAAGTGGCATTCCTTCAATCTTCCTTTGGTTCTCCATCTCAAAAGAAGGACAACCATACTGCTTTAACCTCATTTATAGTTCTTTTTATTCTTGCAATTGAGAACCCCTTACATCATTTCACCAATCCTCCTAGCATGCCTGTGAGGGTGCTGATATTATTGCACATGCTACAGGTGAAAAATTTAAGGTATAGTGACACCAGATTTGGTGTATGCATAGACCATCCAGATCAGGGTGGGGTATGCCTTGCCCCTGCTCTGTGGTAAGTGCTTAAGTTTACAGAAATGTTTAACTTTTCATAGAAGGAACGTGAGATTTTGTTACTGCACAAGTTCATAATCCCAGTAGGATTCCTTGGCCAACATACAGTGATGAAGTACAACTATGTGTAATCCCTTTGTGTCCTAGGGCTTTAAAGATGCCAGCTAGGAACCTTGCAAAGGGCACTGTGATTGAAGTTTCTGTTTGATCCGTGTCCCAGAGTCTGTTCAGTCTCTTTCTCTTGGGAAAAATGTGGCCCTTCTTCCTTCTAGGTTAGGTCTTGGGAGCCTGTCACAATTTGGTCACATAGGGCTGGGGGTCAGGGTGGCTAATGTGGTAGAGCACTTACCCAGCAAACACAAAGGACCTTACCCTTAGTATTCATCAGCTTCTAGCCAGAGTTACTAATGCCTTTTTTGAGGCAAGTTTTTTAAAAACTTGTGGAAAGGAGGGGTTCTGGAGGACACCTATGGCAAGGTTCTTTTCTCCCACTTGTAGGAGAAGCTTGCCTGAGCTCAAAATTTGTTCTAAAATGCTGTGTGCATGTTTCTTAAGAGTCTGTTTGGACCAATTATTCTCAGTTGCACTTTCTCACACTGACATAGAAACATCAAGTTTGACTGTCCCATGCACAAGTCACTCAGTTCAAAATTATCCAGATGTGAAACAACATTTGCAAGAATAGTATGGAAGATTCCTATATGTTCTTTACCCAGCTCCCCTAAATACTAACATTTTATCACAGTTCCGTAACTCCTTTTTTGTGGTGTCTGTGAATAGGGGAATATTTTCCACCTGGATCATTTGAGGGCAGGTTGAGATTTTTTACACTTTTATCTCTAAATGTAATCTCAGCATGGATAGTTTTTCCTTATCATTATTTTTTTGGGGGATGGGGAGCGGTCTGAGATTTGAACTCCTGCTCACAAAGCAGGTGTTCTACCACTTGAACATACCTCCAGTTCATTTTACTCTGGTTATTTTGCAGATGGGGGTCTCTTGAACTATTTGGCCTTGGACCTTGATCCTCTCAATCTCAGCCTCCCAAGTAGCTAGTTTTATAGGCATGAGCCACTGGTGATGGGCTGAGTGTGTGCATTTCTAAGGCCTGTGGTACTTCTGGCCTGCTTGCCATGCTTCTTTCTCTTCTTCCTTCTCCACCATTATTAATCTTTTCAGTGTTCTAGCACAGCCTACAGCTCTCCTTGTTCCCTGAAAACTTTATGATACTTCAAAAATCACCTTGCTTCTCTTGTGAAGAGAAGGAGATAAATACTGGTAGTTTTAGTTCAGAATCACTAGGGATCTTTGGGTGAAGAAAAAAAAAAAAAGAGAGCTAAGTGTTTTATCAAGGACCATAGAAAGGGAACAACAACTAAAGACAGTACTTTTTAAAAAGGTAAATGATAGTGCTGGCAGAGTGGCTCAAGTAGTAGAGGACCTGCTTAGCAAACCTAAGATCCTGCATTCAAGCCCCAATACCACCACAAAAAAAAAAAAAGTTAAATGATATCCAGGTACCTGCAACTCACACCTATGATCTCAGCTACTTGGGAGGCAGAGATGAGGAGGATGGTGGTTCAAGGCCTGCTGGGTAAAAAGTTTTGTGAGACTCCCTACCTCAACCAATAGCTGGGTATAGAGATAAGCTCCTTTCATTCACTCCAGCCATGCACAAGGCTGAGGTCAGGAGGATCTCCATTCGCGGCTAGTCCAGGCAAGAAGTTTTTGAGACCTCACCTACTATGAGAATCATAAATAGAAAGATTGAGCAAGCTGGGCATCTATAGCTCACGCCTATAATCCTAGCTACTCAGGAGGATCAAGGTTCAAAGCCAGCCCAGGCAAATAGTTTGCAAGACCCTATCTCGAAAAAAACCTGTATCAAAAATGGGGCTGGAAGTATGGCTCAAGCCTGCTTAGCAAGCACAAAGTCCTGATTCAAACCACCATACTGAAACGGGGGTGTGGGGTGTGGAAGGGGATAATAAAGGTAGCAGTCTGTACTAGTGAATTATGGGTGTTAGGGGAGGTGGGTGATCCACCCTTAAAAGCTGATTCTCTGAAAATGCCAATATAAGAGACGAAGCAAGACTAATCATAGAAAAAAAAAGAAAGGTCAAGTAAATAATACTAGAATGAAATAGAGGAACAGGTACAGGCAGTTGTGGGTTTTTTATTGTTTAGCTTTTGTTGTTGTTGTGACTGGGGTTTGAACTCAGGCTTTGTATTTGCAAAGCAGGCACTCTACTACTTGAACCACTCCTCCAGTCCATTTTGCTCTGTTATTTTGAAGATGGGGTCTCACCTGCCTGGGCTGGCCTGGAACAAGATTCTCCTGATTCAGCCTCCCAAGTAGCTAGGATTACTGGCATGAACCACTGGACCTGGCTCAGAATTTTTTAACATGCACACATGTGAGTGTAAAAGGACTACTGTGTGAAAAATTTCACAACAGGAAATTTAGAAAGTTACCAAAACTCAAGAATAGAGATTCTGCATAATAATCACTTTAAAGGTTGGTTCAGTAGTTTAAGCACTCCTCTTTCAGCACCACCTCCAGAGAGTTTTACAGGTGAGTCATACTAAATATTTAGCAAACATATCTTATATAAGCTGCTTCATAGACATAGACTAGGAAGACAAGGTTCCTAGCTTTTAAAAAGTGACTTTAAACTTAAACCAAAATCATGTAAGTGCAGTGTAAGAAGAAAGAATTTTTTGTAGGCCAGTTTTTCACATCAACAGAAATGTAAAGCATTCTAGGACAGACGTTAGCAAATGGAACCCAAGCACTGCATGGTGACCCAGTAGGATTTGTCCAGGAATGTGAGGATAGTTTGCATCAGAGGCTCTAGTCATGTCCCCCAAGTGTCTACTGTATATGACGTGTGGCCCCAAGCTCAGTGGTGTAAAACATCCATTTTATTCTGTTTATGGATTCCATGATTAAAGAATTCTGGACACATCACAGTGCAGGTGACTTTTCTTTTCTCCTCATGGCTGGGGGGTGACACAAATAGTTGTCTTCTTTACTCATGTCTGGAATAATGACTGTTAAGTCTGGGCTTAGCTGGATGTTCACCTGTGTACCTGTACTTGGCCACTACATTTGACTTGGGCTTCTCCCAGCATGACGGTTGGCAGTGTTCCTAGGCCATTTCAGATCCAGCTGTAGAAATCATAATGATGACTTGTAGCAGACTAGTGGGACATACATGTCCTACTGCTAACCAGAAAAAGGGTGCCTGCCAAAATTACTATGTTTCACATTTGAAAGCCTTTAGAATACTTACAGCAGGATAAGGATGCTCACTGTCATCTGTTGTTAGCTCCTTATGCTGCAGAACTGAACTGAACTGTATTAATATTCCATTCTTACATTTTCCATGACAAACAGAAAAATTGATGTGCAAAAAGAAAAAACAGCACAAAAGGCAGGGAGGGGGCGAAGCTTACAAAACTAGACAGAATCTCAGCATTAACAGCTGAGCAGAGAAAGGAATTAAAAAGTTTTAACTAAAAAATCACCAGTGGGTGATAGTATGTAGAAACTTAAAATTTACAAACTGTTTAAAACCCAGAATTACTGACTGTTCAGAAACTACACAGATGGATCATGGGCAATGGTAGTGAACAGCAGAAAGAGATTATGGATGAATCTGCCTTGTTCTAGCTGCTCCCCATGCCACCTGTCTCCACGGAAAGCCTCACATTGATTAGCTGTTGAGCCAGGCTAATGCTCCAGTAGATCTACTGGATTCGCAGTTTTGTGTGTCCCAGACATCTGACAGACCTCACTGATTCTAGTGCCCTGGTGCTCAGTAATGCAGCCAATCAAGTTATTTGAAATGATGAGTTCGTGAGAAGTAGTCTGAGCAGATGTACCCAAACCTGCACTGAATCTCATGTTGCCATGCATCATGGGAAATGAAACTGTTGCATTGACAATTGATGCAGCTTGCTCAAATCTGGCTGTGGAACGACATACTGTCCTTGAATGATATTGTCCTCTAGAGATGTCCCTCGAGGTCAGGGCTGAGGCACATGCATAGGGTGGTATGGGGAAAACTCGCACTGTTGCTGCCTGTGCTGTACCTGTCGTGACCACCTGTAAAGATGACTGGAGAACTTGATGGCTTGGGCCAGTATGGGATGGTCATACCCTTTGGGGGGAGATTGGAAGAGAATCTCCAACATGACCGCGCAGGTCTGTGTAACACACTCAATGATGAATTGCGGAATGCCAGCATTAGTGATGGTCCGCTCCGTTGAGTTGGGGAGCATATTCCCTGCTGCCTGAACCTGAATCCCTGTGCTCTTTCAGATTTCCTTGATTTTGCAACCGCCTTTTCCAGTGAGAGAGCCACACTGACTAGCACCAGCCTTAGGGTGTCAGGGGATCTAGTGGCAGCTGTGCTATTGGTCAAAGAGCTACTGGTACCCTCTTTCAATAATCATAGCAAACACTTTAAAGATGCCACATTCAGTCTTAACTCTTGAACCTGGTAGTTAAGGCCCTTTATATTACAACCCCAATTAGCTTGCCCAGCCTCTTTTCTTGGTGTTTTCTTTTGTGTACCTCGACCCTCTCTACCCCTGCCCCCCACCCCTTCCCAACCACTTAGGCTTCCTGTCCTCCTCGTGCGTTTCCTGCAGTTTCCTGTCCAGAAGCCTACTTGTCCTTCTTCGTTACTTCAGGTGGCAACCCTATCCTTTTCAAACTTTTTTTTTCCTTCTTTAATCCTTTCCTAGGGTTGTAATTTCTGTGATTTTCCTCTCCATCCTCTCTTTTTTTTTTTTTTCTTCATTTTTCTTTTATTATTCATATGTGCATACAAGGCTTGGTTCATTTCTCCCCCCTGCCCCCACCCCCTCCCTTACCACCCACTCCACCCCCTCCCGCTCCCCCCCTCAATACCCAGCAGAAACTATTTTGTCCTTATCTCTAATTTTGTTGTAGAGAGAGTATAAGCAATAATAGGAAGGAACAAGGGTTTTTGCTGGTTGAGATAAGGATAGCTATACAGGGCATTGACTCACATTGATTTCCTGTGCGTGGGTGTTACCTTCTAGGTTAATTCTTTTTGATCTAACCTTTTCTCTAGTTCCTGGTCCCCTTTTCCTATTGGCCTCAGTTGCTTTAAGGTATCTGCTTTAGTTTCTCTGCATTAAGGGCAACAAATGCTAGCTAGTTTTTTAGGTGTCTTACCTATCCTCACCCCTCCCTTGTGTGCTCTCGCTTTATCATGTGCTCATAGTCCAATCCCCTTGTTGTGTTTGCCCTTGATCTAATGTCCACATATGAGGGAGAACATACGATTTTTGGTCTTTTGGGCCAGGCTAACCTCACTCAGAATGATGTTCTCCAGTTCCATCCATTTACCAGCGAATGATAACATTTCGTTCTTCTTCATGGCTGCATAAAATTCCATTGTGTATAGATACCACATTTTCTTAATCCATTCGTCTGTGGTGGGGCATCTTGGCTGTTTCCATAACTTGGCTATTGTGAATAGTGCCGCAATAAACATGGATGTGCAGGTGCCTCTGGAGTAACAGTCTTTTGGGTATATCCCCAAGAGTGGTATTGCTGGATCAAATGGTAGATCGATGTCCAGCTTTTTAAGTAGCCTCCAAATTTTTTTCCAGAGTGGTTGTACTAGTCTACATTCCCACCAACAGTGTAAGAGGGTTCCTTTTTCCCCACATCCTCGCCAACACCTGTTGTTGGTGGTGTTGCTGATGATGGCTATTCTAACAGGGGTGAGGTGGAATCTTAGTGTAGTTTTAATTTGCATTTCCTTTATTGCTAGAGATGGTGAGCATTTTTTCATGTGTTTTCTGGCCATTTGAATTTCTTCTTTTGAGAAAGTTCTGTTTAGTTCACATGCCCATTTCTTTATTGGTTCATTAGTTTTGGGAGAATTTAGTTTTTTAAGTTCCCTGTATAT